CAAGTCCATCGTCAACAATGCGCAGGGCGCGCCGAAGGGCGGCAAGGAGGAGCAGGCCCGGAAGGAGAAGGACGGCCCCGGGGCCGCCGCCCCGGGGGCGCAGGCGGGGTGGCATGCAGGAGGAGGAGGTGGCATGCAGGATGAGGAGGAGGAGGAGGAGGAGGAGGAGGAGGAGGAGGAGGAGGAGGAGGAGGAGGAGGAGGAGGAGGAGGAGGAGGGGGGAGGAGGAGGAGGAGGAAGGGGGAGGAGGAGGAGGAGGGGGAGGAGGAGGAGGAGGAGGAGGAGGAGGAGGGTCGGTGGTTCAAATATTGGGTCCTGACGGATGGGGTTCTAAGGATGGCAAGGGATCCAAGGGTGAATTTACACCGCTTGAGGAGGGTCGGTGGTTCAAAGATGGGGCCCTGAGGGATGGGGTCCTTAGGACGAGGTGCCTCAAGCAATGCCGATTCACCCTTGGATCCCTTCCTATCCTGAGGACCCCATCCCTCAGAACCCCATCTGTGAACCACCGAGAGGGAGGGGCGAGGGGGGGCAGAACGACCAGCATTTTCATTTCCTCCTTGGTCTCCCCGGGGGGCCCTCGCCGCCACTGCAGCCATCCGAGCGCACACCCCAAGGGAGCAGGTGAGCGGCGCAAAACAACGGGCTCGACAGCGGCGACATTGGCGCGTATGCTTCCCGCGCAGGGCCGCGCGTACGCACCGTCTTCTCCACGCGGTGTGCCGCGCTGGCGGCCCACGTAAGCCTCGGCGCAAGGGCTCTATGTCATCTTGGCATGCCACCTCGTCGCTCAGGGATGGGGGCCACCAGGAATGGGGGCCAGGGATCGAGCTAGACGGTGTTTTGGTGGCGATTCCGTGGACCGTTTTTCGTCTTGGTCTCCTTTGGCAGCCAACGGGGAACCGAAAACAGGCCGAGGATCGACGAGAACAGCACGAACGCGGAACGCACTGCTCAGCTCGAGTCCTGATGCTCGGTCGCAAATCAGTGGAGCCTGGTTTACCCTCTGAAATCCGTCTTCAGCGTCGATGAGCGTCGATTAGCGTCTGGGAGCCGATAAGATAGTGCCGATTTCGCGTCGGCTAGCGTCGATGAGCGTCGATCTAGCGTCGATTAGCGTGGATTTAGCGCCGACGAGCGTCGATTCGCAAGAGCTGACAAGATGGTACGGGAGGCTCCCCCGAGTTGCCACCTCCTCCTCCTCCTACTCCTCCCCCCTCCTCCTCCCCCTCCTCCTCTTCTTCCTCCTCCTCCTCCTCTTCTTCCTCTTCCTCCTCCGTAACCATTTTGGCTCAAGGCCAAATGGCGATTCATCCACTGCCTCAGCGGGGTAGGCTCCCATCGCTTTCAGCGTTCCTCTTTGCATCTTTCTGGAACCTGATCACCACAGGTTTCCTACATATCGCCCTCTTTCCGCGGCTGGCGCAGCCATGGCACAGGGTGGCAGGCAGCAGTATAAGGCATCATGGCAGAAGTGGGCTCCCTGGCGTACACCGAGTCCAGGAGGCACACTATTGTCCTTGGGAGATGACTGGCCCGCTCTGGGAAATACATCGCGGACATACTCCAACCTGGACGCGAAGCCGTGGATGCCAGCTGCCAACCGTTCTTCGAGCCAGAACGTCACCATGCCCAAGTTTGGCCGTGACGTCACGTGGTGCAAGGCGTGCAGCAAGTTCACCTACAACGACCAGCTCGAGAAGTGTGACTATACGTGCAGATTCTGCGGCAACTCCTTCAAGGGCCGCGGTGCTGGTTCGTCCCAAGCTGCTGGAGGAGGCCAGACCAACCAGTTGGACATCTCTGCCTCGATGGGCCTCATCATTGCGAAGGGAGGCGCCGCCGCTGAGCAGGCGAAGATGCTGCAGACTACCTTGGCACAAGTTCCAGCAGCTCCTCCGAAGCCGCCTTCTATTAGGCTATCGGAGGCTTTTCAGAACGTGGAACGAGCTGAAGGCGCGCTGGAGAAGGTGGCGGCAAGAATTATCAGACTCGAGCGCGAGCTGGCCACCGCCATGGGCCAGTACAAGGAGCAGGCGGCGAACCTGGCTGACGCCATTGTCGCACAGGAGGCCGTCGCCAAGGAGCTTGCACCAGAACCAGTCAGTCGACCAGCTGTTGGACAGGTGGATGTTCGTGAGTTCCTGGGGGACCGAGCCGAACTCAACCTCAGCTTCGGGGGCCTATTCGAAGACGTGGAGCTTGAGGGGGCGGATCGTGTCGAGTTCGAGCGGCGCAAGTCTTCCTTCGAGTCCGAGTTCAAGACTGCGCTATCGGCCCAGTTCAGCAAGATGGTGGCGTCGTTGGCAGAACAGCAGCAGAAGAAGGTGGAGGAGCTCGGGTCTTGGCAAGCAACCAAGAAGAGAAAGAGCAGCCCTGCGCCTGCTGAAGATCATCGGCCAGATGCGGAGGGGGGCGCCTCCGCAGGTGGCTCGACTTCGACTCCGTCACCGACGGATCCAGTGGCATCGGCAACGCCAGGGACTTCGACGGGCGCGGCGTCATCAGCATGGGCCACAGTCGACCAGGTGGCCACCGACAAGCAGAAGGAGTCCAAGATCATCATGGAGGAGACCCTCGCGGCCAAGCGGCCGCCCAATTCGCAGGTTTGATCTAAGCCCACCCTCGGCCGACCCCTGGCTCCCGCGCAGTGCAGGGGGGGGGGGGGGGGGGGGGCAACGAAGAGGGGGCGTCGGGCAGATCTACTTCGGGCACGGCGGCTTTCTCTACTGGGGGGGGGGGGCTATTCCAGGGGGTGGCTCCTTCTGAGACCCCTGGCATGTGCGTCGCAGAGGCGAGTGTATTCCAGGGGGTGGCTCCTTCTGAGACCCTTGGCCCTTCTGACCACCAGAGGGCGGCCCCTCCGGGGGCCTCTGGCATCGGCGACGAAGGGGAGCTCGACGTGGATGCAGGTGGCAACTACTGATTCCAAGGGGTGGCTCCTCCTGAGACCCTTGGCATGGACATCGCACGCGTTAGAGTATTCCAGGGGGTGGCTCCTCATGAAACCATTAGTTTTGGAGATAGCATGGAGGCGTGTGTATTCCAGGGGGTGGCTCCTCTTGAGACCCCTGGTCGGACCTCCTGGGATCGTGACATCTTCGGCACCAGCAAGGGCTTTCTCTCCTGGTGAGGGACGGTTGTCGCTTCTGGTTGGGAAGTTACTTGGAAGTTGGTGATCGATGAGACGGTGGTTTCACAGCCAGGTGCGCCCTGGTTCTCCCGTCGAGACAGGCGTCTTGCTCGCAGGGCACCCAGTCCACAGGAGGATTGGGACAACAGAGCGTCGAGCAAGCGCCCAGTCGTCCTGTTGGAAGGGGATCAGTGCATGGGTAGATGGCCCACGCGCATACCTTTCCCACGGAGACCTCCTAGCCAGACCAGGGGGGCGTCAGAGGCTGCGAGATGAGATGAAGACCACAGCAGCAAGGTGGATACACAACATCAGAGGCGAACGTTTCAACAGCTTAGAACACTGGCGTGAATGGTGTGTCCCCTACTTCATCGAATCTCTCTCCAGACCATCGAGTAGAGACTTTCGCAGTTACTTGGAAAGGTTCTACGGGCGAGCGTTGGCAGAGATCGCAGAGATCACGTGTGCGGAAGTCTGGCATCGGGCAGAGCCTCATCGAGCCTTCTTCGTCGAGGCGCTCGACAGCATCAGGGGCGTGGGGCAGCATCGTCGTTTTCTCAGGTGGCATTTCGATGAGCTGCGTGAGACCCGACGCCGCTTCCGCAGGTTGCTTGGCAATAGAGTGCCTCCTGATCGGCCCCCCCCCCCCCCCCCCCCCCTGGCGACTACGATGAAGGGGAGGGGGGGGGAGGGGGGGGGGGCAAGCGCAAGGCAGGATCGTACTGGTATGAGGCCTGGTGATGCATCGCATTGGTCAAGGCACCCACGACACGTCTGTGCAGGAACAGCTAGTGCATGATGAGTGCCTGGAGAAGAAGGAAGGCACTAAGTTCCACATATACATGCGCAACATGTCTACTTGGGGACCATCGGCGAAGTTGCTCCTCAAGGGGCCTTTCGATGCGGTCGTCGTTTAGGAGACGCACATGGACAAGTCTGAGACGAACGACGTGCTGGTCGAGTTCGGCAAGGCTGGCTACAGAAGCATGCTGTGCCCAGCGGGCGCTGAATCCAGTTGGTTTTCAGCGAATTCTGGTGGCGTGGCCATGGGGATCTCGAAGAAGTGGGGTTCCCGGTCGCTAAGGCACCTTGCGTCCAACAAGGACGATCTGCCAGGGAAGAGAGAGGGCAAGCGGAAGTGCACAGCAGAGCAGAACCAGATCACGGGCGTCAGTTTCAAGGACATGGTTGGCATGCAGGTTCTCCTGAAGGACGCTCACATCGCCATCGTGGGTGGGTATCTTTACAATGGACTGGGAGTCACTGGAGCTAATGTGGAGGAGTTGCGGTACTTAGCATCACTGGTTGCATCTCTTTCCACGCCCTGGGTTATCTTGTGCGACTGGAACGTCCCTCCCCAGACGCTGCGCAAGGCCGGGTGTCTCAACCTGGTGCAGGGCAACATCTTGGTACCAGACAACGTGGAGTACACGTATACAGGTGGGCAAGGCACGTTGATTGATTATGCGGTGGCGTCAGGGCCTGCTGGAGTATCTCGACCGAGCGCATGCAGATGCCGAGATGGTGGGCGAAGGTGGCAAGGCGCACTACGGCATCGTGCTCGACCTACTATTAGAAGCGAAGGAGGCGGAAGGTCGCACGCTCCGATTACCCAAGGCTTTTGGGCCACCTCCTCAGCCAACGAAGAAGGCGGACCCGAACATCAAGCGTTCGCGGAAGCTGGTGGTGGTCGCTACTCCGACGACGAAGAGTCCAGGGGTACCAGCTTTGGGCACGCGCAGGAGGCTGGGGATCAATGTGCCCCCACCTTTTCAATATCTTGGCCCCTTGGACTTGGGCGAGGCTACCGAGTCAGAAGATAACGACGAGGACGACGAGGACGACATGCTGAGGGGGGAAGAACCTGGAGACGATCTCGTTCCACCTGCTTTTGATACATTGGGAGAGAAGTGGCCCCGTGGCAATCGTGAGGACCTCTGGAGATCTCTTGTTGTCAAGACGGATGGTAGATGGTCGAAACTTCCGCACTACGTTCAATCATCTTACGCTTGGCAGCTTACCTCGGACAGTAGCAAGTCTCTTGGTCATACCTTCGGTCAATGGATCAGCAAAGTTGAGGAATTCTTCAGCGCGTTATTGGATGGTGAAGGCTTGGACAAGGATGGGCACGCACACAGAGGCCGAGCACTGGCGCGGAAAGTCAACGTCAGCAAGGTGGTACCATCGCCGCCTTTCACTCGTACAAGGGACGCTGGAGTGGATTGGTGGGCAAAGATCGCTTTCTTGCTGGAGGAGTTGGACAGGGCCTGTGCGAAGAGGGAGTCTCCGAGGTTTGGCAAGCTCATCACTCGTCTTCGTGAAGCGACTGGTTGCGTGCCCAACTCGACGCTGGCGCCCCTCCCACGGAAGGAACAACTTTCTTGGTGCAGGAAGCTACGCATGCTGAACACGGCGACCTCGGACACCATCCGCAGGTACAAAGAGGAGCGTGCGACGCTGGCCAGTAGTATGCAAAGGATGCGGTGCTACTCTCAGTACTTGGCCTTTTCTCAATGGGCAGAGGAGCAGTACACCTCGGCGCCAGGGAAGTTGTTCCGCCTTATCAAGGACGTTCCATCAACAAAGGACGAGTTCGAAAGGGGTCAGAATATCCCCTTTGACCCACTCACGGCCATGGACATTCGGGCGTCGGTATGGCATGATAAGTGGAGTGACGAGTCCTTGGAGATCGGGCGGGTTGAGCAGCTACTCTCTACGACTGGAGACAACGCCACGGCAAACCCCTTCCCCGTCTTTGACATGGACACGCTGGAGGGTGGCACCAGGAGGATGAAGGCGTCGTCGGCGGAGGGTATCGAACAACTTGGGAAAAAGGACCTTGTTTGGTTGCCTGAGTCGGGCAAGCAAGAGTTGGTCAACTAACTTATTCCAGCAGATCGAGCAGGAAGTTGCGTGGCCCTGGCAGTTGACTGTTGTTCTGGTGGCCCTCGCGAGGAAGCCGTCGGGGGATGACAGAGCCATCGGGATCCTATCCAGCTTGGCGAGGTTGTGATCCAGCTGCCGAGGAGAGTACCGCGCCACCTGGACGAAGACTCAGGCTGGGCACTGGGATGCAGCAGTGGCTGGGTCCCCGGCTCTACGCGAAGCTTTACTACGCAGTTATTGAATCGCTTCGCTCATTCCGCCGGCCCATGCGGTCTCATGTCTGCCGTTTGCCCGAGGGCCTGGTGTCAATGCGGCGTTTTGGGGGTTCCTGGGGCCGCTTGGGGGACTCCTGGGGCGCTCGGGGGGGCATTTGGGGGGCCTCCTGGGGCGCTCGGGGGGGCAGTTGGGGGGCCTCCTGGGGCCGCTTGGGGGACTCTTGGGTGCCTCCTGAGGGCCTCGTGGGGGGGCCTCTTAGGGACCTCTTGGGGCCTCGTAGGGGCTTCTTAGGGCCGAGGGCGCGAAATTTTGTTTCGTGTTCCCTCTCTGGGGCCCCTTTGGGAGTGTTCTTGGGGCCCTCTTGGACCGTCTTGGAGGCTTCTTGGGCCGTCTTCGAGCCCTCTTGGGCCATCTTGGGGCCCTCTTGGGGGCCTCTTGGGCCCTCTTGGGGCGATCTTGGGGGCCTCTGGGGCCGTCTTGGGGCGTCGGGAACCGAAAAGGTGGAAGCTCTCAAATCTTTCAAAAACCTAGGGAACAACAATGAATTTTGCCTCCGGGGGCCCTCTTGGGAGTGCTCTGGGAGGCCTCTTGGGGCGTCTGGGGGCTATCTTGGGCGTCTTGGAGCGATCTTGTGGCATGTCGGACCCCTCGTGTACCATCTTGGGGGCCTCTTGGGGGCCTCTTGGCCTTTCTTGGGGCTCTCGGGGGCGTCTCGGAGCCCTGTTGGTGCGCTCGTGGAGCGCTCCTGGAGCGCTCTGGGGGGCTCCTCCCGGGACTCTCTCAGGACCTTGCCGGGTACTTTTCGTCCGGGGACCCCCAGGGGCCGCCCCGCGCGCGCGAACTAGAGAATTCTTAACCAGTTACCGGAGATCTTAGCACGCCTCTGGCCCGTTGGGCCGGCGAATTTAGACGAGACGGTGGCTCTCTCCACGATTCAAGGCTGGGCACAAGCAAGTATGATGTGGGACGTCGAAGGGTTCTACGATGCGCTCAAGTGGAAGCTACTCCTTGAATCGGGACTCGAGCACGGGTTTCCTCCCAGTATCCTCGCGCTGGAGATAATTTTGCATATGGGTGCGCGCTTCCTTCGGGACAACGGCTACTACTCGGGCGCTATCATCCCAGAGAAGAGTCTGATCGCAGGACTGGGGGGAGCAGTGGAATTCTCGAGATGTGCACTGTGCAACATTTTGGACAGAGTGGCGCAAGGTACCCCAGCCGTGGTGACTAGGTCTTGGGTGGGTGATGTTTCTCAGCGCGTGGAA